CTGTCATCACACACAGCCGCACCGGCACCTGTATCTCTGCAAGACACAGATACTTTGTCTGTTGCTGCAGGCAAGCAGTGATTTTTCCACTTTGACACATGCTTTTGACAGCGCCAATGCAAAGCCTGGGTACACCAACTTCCAGTAAAAATGGGAAGACACTACTAAACAGAGTAACCTGTCTGCAGTCCAAGTGTTTGGGCATTTAGTTCCAGAAACAGCATGTGGGCAGTGGGGCTGAACAGGGGAGACACTCTATTTCCATATAACTTCTAATTTAGGAATCACACAGTAGATGCCGACCCTGGTTTGAACTGCAGAGACAGGGGATTAATTATCTGATACCCAAAGAGCTGCAGTTTAGACCAGATATGCAGAAGCTAAACTCACCCATCAAATCACTCCTGCATTTCTTTTTTTTAATTTGTTCTGCAAGAACTATCAAAAACAGTACACTATGAGGGGATCCTCACACTGGGAGAGAGGAAGATCCAGTCTAACCAACAGGTTACAAGAACACTTGCTTTCCCACTGATGTTGCAAGGACCAGGTCTGCAGAGCCCTTTCATGCTCCTGGAAAAACATTAAAACTTCTACATTTCCAGTTTAGCAGAGTTAAACATGAATCAGATCAAGATACTTGTGCCTGGCCACATGAAACAGCTTTGCAGACATCGTGCATCTGTGAAAGCATCAGCCTGATGGATGCACAAGGGAATAAAGACCATGGCACTTCACCCAGTCCGTGCTCTTAGGAGGTTTTCACAACTCCTTTAGTACCCCAGATCTTTCCCAGGGTAAGACCTGAACACTGAAATTAGTTCGTGTCTGTTATCTGACACAGGTTTCTGCCAAGTCACACCTGTTAAGAGGTCCACAAAAGTGAGATAATGTTCCTATTACCACAAGATCCAGATGTGCTAGCTGGAAAACACACAGAATATGCAGCAAGGGAGTTACCTTCAATATTCGATTTATGATTTGAGCAAAGATCACCTTTACTACCTGTTCCCTGCTTTTGAAAGATGTTTGACAACCTTTGGAGGGCCCATTCTTCTGCTCCACTGCCCACAGCAGTGCTGTTCATACCACATACCTCTTTCACCTAGTGCTGTTTGATTCGCTATTTTATTAAGTAAAATGCATGATTTTTATTTAAAAACAAACAAACAAAAACCACACACACACACACACACAAAAAGTTCCCAAAGGCTGGGAAGGGAAGCTGGTGTTGCATTGTCACTGTCCAAACTTTGGTCACCTCCGCAGAGCTGGAAACAACTGATGGGACATTTTCATGGAGAGGGACACAGGTCAGAGCGAGAAAAATGGAATCTCTAAGGCTGGAATAGAGCTCCAAGGCCATCAAGTCCAACTTGTGACTGATCCCCACCTTGTCACGCTGCCCAGAGCACTGAGTGCCATGTCCAGTCATTCCTTGAACAGCTCCCGGGATGGGGACTCCACCACCTCCCTGGGCAACCCATTTCAAAATTTAGCAACCTTTTTCACTACGAAATTCCTCCTGATGTCCAACCTGAGCCTCCCCTGGCACAGCTGGAGGCCGTTTCCCCTTGCCATGTCCCTTGTTCCCTGGGAACAGAGCCTGATCCCCCTTGGCTCCCCCCTCCTGTCAGGGAGTTGCAGAGCCAGAAGGTCCCCCTTGAGCCTCCTTTTCTCCAGGATGAGTCCCCCCAGCTCCCTCAGCCGCTCCTGGTGTTCTAGACCCTTCCTTTGTCTAGACAAGGTCGTTCCTGAACTGAGGCACACAGAACCGGACAAAGGACTTGAGGTGTGGCCTCACCAGTGCCCAGCACAGAGAAGTGTGGAACAACCCTTGCCCCTGTGTGGAAAGCTGCTGGTCAGGCTGACCTCAGATGAAATGCAAGTTTCAAGGGGAATTTTTGCTTCTGCCCAGGGCAGTGACACACAAGGAAACCAGAGCCGCCACTGGGATCTGGGTACACAAGAGATCTTTTGTTCCCCTATGAGAAAAGCAAGAAGCAATCAGCCAGGGCACCAGCGGCTGTGCTGGCTCTCCCTGTGACCATGGCAGAGTTTTCAGTCTGCTTTCAGAATTGCAAACACCTCCTTGCAGCCCCCAAAGTGTAAAAGGCATCAACACCCACTGCACCTCACCAGGACAGAGATCATGACCGGGGAGGAGGTGGCTGCATTGCCCTGCAGGTAATGTGTGACCCAAAGCACTCATTGCTCTGAACTCACAGCCTCAGATATTAAAAATCACTGAATGATCCCTCCCTCAATCACCTCCAGTAGCAGCACTTGGTGCAAATTAACTCAGTGCTGTGTATTTTGCTTAAAACAACATTCTTTCAGTGAACTGAGTGCATTTAGTCTCACACTGGTTATGCGGAGAGTTTCTAAAGAGCTGGTCAGTGTAAAAATTAGAGGCTGTCACATATGAATTTTAATCACTTGCCTTTCTCTTTTTTTTGAAAGCTGTTTTACATGCGGTTGCTACAAAGCAACTCCCTGCAAAACATCCTCTTAGGGAAAAGCTCGTATTTAAAGGGGAGTTTTAATATGTGCTGAAATAACTGTAAGTGTTCAGATGTTTTGTGAACAACTTTGACTCAAAAAAGGGATCAGATGTTGCTGCACACCCTCTGCAGCTCCCTTGTCCAGCTCACCCACAACTTTTTTCTTTCCTTTTTTTTTTTTTTTTTCCCCCATTTTAAATTGGCATTTTCTGATGACAGGACAAAACCAAACGCGGGATCCAGCAGAGTCCCCAGTCCCCTCTCATGGACGCTGTTGGCTTGAGGCAGGGGAGAAAGCACAGGACCCCTTCACTAACACTTGTGCACCACCAGTATCTTAAGATCTGCCCTGGCACCTCATCTCTAAATGGCCATGGTATAATAGAAGCTCAGAGAATTAAAAATCTAATTACCTCAATTTTTCTCATTTAACAGAGAGTCTTATATTTTGTGCCCTTTTCCCTTGCCATCTATTCAATCCCATTCAATCACCTCCACTGTGCCTTTCCAGTGTGTTCTTGGCCACTAATGAAGCTAAAATATTCAGAAGACCCAGAAGACTGTTCTCCTGCTCTCAATCACATTGCAAGTTTGACCTTCTGGGATGGCCAGTTTGAGTTTTATTCCTGGTCTATAGGATGCACCAGACATAATCCAGTTGTTTTAAAGTTCAGACACTGCAAAGCAAGTGATGTTTTTGCACCAGTTTAGGTTTAACATGCTCACAAACCCCCACCCTGATGGCTGAGGTGCCCAAGCACCCATGGCCCACCTCACATGTACCCCAGTTGCCTAAAGCTGAGCTGCAGGCACAAGGTATCCCACAGAGTCAGTAATTCAGTCAAAAAAAGGCAAAAAGGAGTCCTGTTCAATGCACTACATCCATCACTCATGAGCCATGCCATCCACACACCCTGTTCAAGCAGCTCCACCCCTCTCCCTGGAGCACTGCAGAGGGAAAAGCTCGGATCAAACTGTGGAAAACACAACTTCCACCCAGAGGCTTTCAGATTTAAAACACAGTGCGCTACATTTTAAGGCACATTTCAAATAAACAGGTAGATTCCTATAATCCACATCCCAATCTCCTCTCAGCCCCGTTTGAAACCCTCTTTTGTACCCAAACCCGCAATTGCCATAACAGCCCCAAAACGGAAAGCACTAGAGGAATGCTGAACAGTGAGCATCTTATTTAAGAGCTTTGAAGGTGGTTATTTTCCTGTCCCCTTGAAAACAGAGCAGTCTTAACCACCCAGAGACAGCAGTTATCACTTAGGAGTCGCTTGTCAAAAGTAGCTTTATTCTGTTAAGAAGGAAAGCAGAGTCAAGCATCTTTGGCTAGAGCTTGCTGTTAGCCCACTGCCTGCAAAAATACACAGGGATGTGGAAAAACATTGTCTCCCCTAGCACAGACTTCAGTTTCAGAAAAGCAAGTTGTTGCCTTGCATTTTAGACACCTGCCCAGGAAAATACATGGGTCCTGTTCACATTGGTCAGCAAAACCCTGATTATCTTCTAAAAAAACCCATGCAGCTTGCTGCTCAGCCTGGACTCACAAAAGGACATAGTCCTAAGCCTTCCTCTTTCTAGAGACAGCTTCCCAAATTCCTGAATTCTTCTCAAAGCAGATCTGCCCAAAGCACAAGCACTTGGGGGAGTGAACTTCACTCAGTTTGGATAAAATCCACCTGATCTCCACTCATGGCAGTGCTCCTCCAGATGCATTTATGGATTGAACTCTGGCACACCTCTGATTAGAAATGCATCCTAACTCACCACGAGAGCTCAGATGTGGCAAAAACCAGGTTGCAACCCTTGAAAAATGGTTCAGTGCTTACTCTTTGCTATTAAAAGCCAGGGCTGTACAAAAATCTCAGCTAATCCACAAACAAACATAAACACATTGTGCGAGTCCTGACAACTATAATAAAATGATCCCTGGTGCAACAGCTTTCAGCTGTCTCCCACATTCTCTTTCAGATCATGACTTATCTGCTAAGAACAAAACCCTACATCTGTCCTCAGCAACACAACAAACACAGAAACAAATGAAGTGAAACTCCCACCACATCCATCTGGTGAAGGCACTGCTTTGAAAGATCCATAAATACCTCCAAATATCTGCCAGTCACCTCCTAATTCAAAATCACAACGTCTCCATAAAAACAACTAACATTAGCTCCTGGGTTTAGTTGGATTATCTCACCAAATTATCTGAAACGTGGTTTCCTCTAAGCTATTAAACGTGACATTTGCAGAGTGGTTTGAACTTCATCCAGGAAGCTCATCCAAGCAGCAGCAGGAGAAGGATCCCTGTCAGAATCACGGGTGCACCAAACCCCTGAGTTCCCAAGGACCACAGAGATCCCCATCAGCCCAGCAACCTTGGAAAGCAATGATGGGGGTCCAGCCAGCAAGCAGAATCCCACAACTTCGCTTTCACTGCGTAATTGCCACATTTAATTGCATCTTTTCTCACTTTGAGCACTCACTCACCTGACCATCTGACTATAGGCTTCCTGGGCCACGGCGAAGATGTGGGGATCCATGTCCCCCATGTTTTGGCCACTGTATGCATAGATGGCATCTTCTTCATAGATTGGCAGCTCCTCATATGGGTTGATGGCCACAAGCACGATACCTTAGAAAACAGATGAATAGGCAGGTATATTACAAACCAAGCAGGGATTTAATATTTCAGGCTTTTCAGGACGTGCATTAGCTGTTTTGATCAGTTTTTTTCTGAAATACGGTGTTTGAAGGGAAAAAAAGGATGAGAATTGAATGGGGAAGGACTCCTGATTCTTATCTCAGCATCTCCTTTTAAGGACCATGCTTTCATAGCAAGGCAATAAGCTCCCATGCAGCTGCAGAGGAGGCCTACAAAACTAGAGATAAAAGCAAAAATTTGTTATAACTTACATTGTGTGAAGCCAGACTTTGCAGAAGGAGTGAGGAAAGCTAAATAGAGCCTGAGTGATCACTTCAGAAAAGCAACTAAAGCTCTGCTAGACCCAAACAAACATGCTGGGGTTTCCCCTGGCTTAAATCTCAAGTGGAAGCTCGTAACAAAGAACATACCCAAATCAAACTGAAATGCATAAATAATAGGAAAGGAATGCCAGAGCCTGCATTACAGCTTTAATGTCTGCCTCCTCTCCAGCTCTAGGAACACCGTGCCTGCCCAGAAGAGGCAGTGAGCCTCAGAATTAATGAGAGGCAAAGCCACGCGTGGTGCTCCCTGTGTGCTTGAGGGAGCTGCTCTGCACATAAGCGCTGACAAAGTTCCACCTCCAAAGCACCTTCAGGTTCGGCAGGTTCAAACTGTTACTGGCAGGAGCTCCGGGGAGCAGGTGGGTGGTGGGAGTGGGCCCCAACCAATTCAGAGCTAGGGCACCCCGAAACTGCAGCAGAGCACAGGAACCCTCAACTGGCAGTGAACACCAGGAGACACAACTTCACCCGCCGTGGAAGGCAAAGGTCAGCGACGTCACCTGCCTCTGCAGGACATTAACCCAGCTGCTTCACAGGGTTCCCTGTGCCCTCCTCCTGCCTGTTCGCTTCCTGGTTCTGTTAGAGGCATGCCTCAATTTCCCTTAGTCACCAAAAGCACCATGCAAACCAAGCTGAGGGGCTGTTGTTACCGTGGATTTCTTGCCCTTCTCAACCACTTCATAACCAAAGCACGGGGTACTTTGTACCCATGCAGAGCTCTTGCAGCTGAACCTACACTTGCTGAGCCCAAACCCCTTTATCTTCATTAACGTGATGCTGTGCTCAAGGTTTATCATAAACCTTCACGAGAAGCTGCACAAATGAAACGGCACTGATTTTGGATGGGAGCAGTTTTGCAGCTGACTGAAGGCACATGTTCAGCTGCAAAAGGCTACAGGTTATGCCAGCAGTCCCACATTACACATCATTAAACACTGGGAGGAAAGTCCCCACTAACAGCCGCAGAGGCTGCATATTTCAAGGGAACTATTTAAAAAAGTCATCTCCTCCTGCCAAGCATTTCCTCAACAACCCTGAACTGAAACACTTCATCACAGCTGTACACACCAAGCTTAGCCCTGCCATGCAAGTGGTGCTGTGGATTTTGCTGAAATCCTGCAACATCACAGGACAAGGGGGAACAGCTTCAAACTGACACAGAGCAGGATTAAATGAGATATTGGGAAGGAATTCACCCCTGTGAGAGTGGTGAGGCCCTGGTTTCCCAGAGAAGCTGTAGCTGCCCCTGGATCCCTGGAAGTGTCCAAGGCCAGGCTGGACGGGGCTTGGAGCAACCTGGGTTAATGGAAGGTGTCCCTGCCCTATGACCAGGGGTTGGAACGAAATGAGCTTTAAGGTCCCTTTCAACCCAAACCATTCTGGGATTTTATGAATTGCCTTCTTTCTTTTTTTGGATGTTTTAAGTTGCAATTTGTTGCTATCTATTCACAGCTAACTGCAGTCCTGAATACCTTTGGTAAGCCACCCGCCCCAAAAAGGACAAACCCAAGTTCACACCTGCCCTCCTTCCACTTTGAATTCAAGGCTTATATGACTCCCAAAGTCATTAAGAAAAGGAAGGAAATAAGAGCACGAGAAGGTTTTTTGCAGTCTTTCAGGAGGAAAACCCACTATGAACATTTCTCAGTCGGATCACTATTTCTGGCATGCTGCTGTGTTTTGGTGATTTGTTGTATCCTACTTTTCCCCTGTGGGGGTTGCCAAGCACACAGAAATTTGGCCTCAAACTCATCTGACAAGATGCTCCCACCAAGAGTTAGTGGAAACACCAGCTGCTGTGGAACTGGATCACCTGGACCACGAGCTCAGGAAGTTCACAGTGCACCAACCCTCAAAAACCACGTGTGGTTTTTTACAAACTAAAGCCTGATGGTGCACACTTCTGTCTCCCACCCGCCCCAAAATCACAGTCCCCAGACTTTCCTCATGCTGCAACCTCTGGCTTGTGGTCTCAAGGGGTTTCTCTGTGGACCCACAGCTTCCCAGGAGCTGATCGTGTGGCCTGGACACTCACCGCAGTACGTGTAGACAAAGTTGCTCTCCAGGAACCTGACTTTGAGGTTGTGCAGGACTGCAGGCTCGTGCAGGTAGCTGAGGGCTGTCAGGTCATTCTCTCTGAGCAGGATATCTGGATTGCATAGGAGAGGCAGCTCATTTCCTTGGAGGTCAAGACGATATTCGTAGAGCTGAATAGAAACATGTGAGGAGCATGAGAACACAAAAACCAACAGCTCCTTTAATAGCTAATAATTTGTCCAAATAACTCCATTCTGATACTATACTTACATATCCTGCTCTAAATGAAATTACAAGCCCCTTTTATGCTAAATGCTACAGGGATCTGGATGACACGCTACCAGGTGACAGATCATCCTTCTGGTAAAATGGCTTTGAGGTGGCCAACCAAGGTCCTGGAGTAAAATGATGGTCCACAAGCACCAACCTGAGCATATCTGAGTTGCTTTCAGGCCGACCTTGGGGCAGACAGCCTTTAGCCAGCTCTAAGCAGTAACAGGAACCACACAGACAAGCACAGCTTCATCTGATCTAAGCACCTTCATGCCCTTTGAAAAGCAGCCTCATTGCAAACTAGACCACGTTCTTACCATCAGAACGATTTCTCAGCTCATTTTTAATTTCAGTTACTTTCAAACCCAAAACCTGACACCCCTTCAGGCAGAGAGGACATGGAGAATTGTGGAGTCCCTGCTGCTTCAGTGTCTGAGGAGCCAGTTTAAGCTGCTGAAGTTACCATATGGGCAGCCTTATGGAATTTTTGACTCATCCCCAAGTGAGCAGCAGAGCCACCAACTAAAGGAAAACTGTAATTTTTAATTTTTTTTTTTAGCAGTGGAGGGAAAAATTTTTGCTGTGATGTTGCTTTCCACAGGGTGTCTCAGGAAGGGGTCCTGATGCTCAGGTCCCAGCAGAAGGGAAGAGCCCCGGTTTGCAAGCAAAAGAGCACCAGTAGCACTGCACTGGCACTGGAACACTGCCCATGCGAACAGCACAAGGAAAGTCGGCCCAAGTGCACGAGGACGGGGTCTCTCAGAACATCTGACAACCTCAAGCTGGTTTTATTCTCCAATTCCATCTTGTCAATGCCAATTTTCAGGAGTTTGTGCTCAGTCTCACATCTTAATGGCAAACACACCAGGGACGCCTTGTGATATTTAAAAGTCAGTTCTTCATTCAGAGGGAGTACTCTTGCATACAGAGCAGAGCCAGAAAACACAAAACCCATGAAAATGCACTTAAAGTACAAGGACAAAAGAGAAGCACTAAACTGTTGGGTAATGCATGTTGGCTGTCAGGAACAAAAGGCTTTCAACAGCTTTGCATCCCCTGTAGATATGTATGCTGGCTCCTTTCCGGTCAAACTCACTTCAGCTTCCAACACAGTCAACTGCTGCGACCCTCCTGTCACTCCAGAAATGGAAATAGCCTCTGGTCCCACATGTCCTGAGGGCATTAACGTGCATTGAGCGCCAGTGTCAACCAAAGCCTTATATTCTTGTGGGTCTGATGTGCCAGGCCACCGGATCCACACCGTCCAATAGACACGGTTGTCCCGTGCCTCTACCTGGCTAGAGGCAGGGTCCCTCTAATACTGGTTTCTGTCCTGCTCATCACAGGTTTCCGTCTGCAAATACCGGCGGGAGGTACCTTCTAGTGGGTCAGATCCCTGCCCACGGGATACCGGCACTGCACTCACTTTCACGGACTTTGTTTTTCTCTGGTCCTTTAACTCTTGTACTTGGGCTGCCAAGACATGGGTAGGTTTCCTGTCCCACTGTCTCATGTCTTCTCCATGTCCAGATAGGAAATACCACAGCTCGGTTCGTGAGGTCTGTCTACCCCCTCTAGCTGGGGGGCGCCTGGTTCTCACTGGTGCCACCTGGGAGGTGTTTCTCTCAATCTTTTCTAGCATTTTCTTTTGTTGATCTTGTAGTTGTGTAGCTATGGTAGTGAGGTTATCGATTGAGGTCTCTACGGAGGAAACACGGGTTTGTAGTGATTCTTGGACCATACTGTCGTACATCCGAAGTTTATTTGCTATAAGCGCCACTGGCTCACTCTTTTCCCCAGCATCCAGTGATGTCAGGTAACTGACATGTGCAGATGGCCCCATACATATGAAGGTCTACCACATGAATGGTGTACATCTAACCTTGTCAGGATCGTGACTAGCTTGCATATCTCTTCTAAACAGTACTTCCAACAGTGCCATTTCCCTCAGGCGTCGGATCCCCTCCTCCATGGTATTCCAACTCTTCACAAAATGGTCTGTCTGCAAGGCCTCTCTGTAAACGAATCTCCCTCTCACAGTATCCAGCAGCCGTGCCCAGAGAGACAGGGACTTTGATTCTCTCACAAATGCCTCTTCAATGCCCACATCCTGGGCAATAGACCTCAAAGACCTTGCTTCACTGCCATCAAGGTTTATGGCATCACCTGTAGAGTCCCAGACTCGGATCATCCAGGTCAGTATAGGCTCATTCGGGTGACGAATCACATCTGCCCGTAATTTCCGGAGGTCGTCATACGATAAGGACTTAGTGATGATTTCTGGCTCTGAGTTGGCTGTCTGTGAGGGTCCTGCCTCCCCATCATCATCAACTGGGCGGGCTGATTTGGTCCTATATTTCTTCTTTTGGATAGGGGCAACCTCCATTGACTTGTTTGGTCCCTTGGAACTGGCCTTATCTGGAGTTACCCTTGAATCAGGCCTCTCGTTTTCATCTTTTCCTTTTCCCTGTGAGGGTTGCACCATACCGAGCACCTTTTTGTAGGCAACGGCTAAAGCCCCACATGCATCTATGTCCCAGGTTGGATTTGGCTCCCAGCCAAGTGTCTGGACCCCAGGGACAAAATCTTCCCCCTCCCTCTCACTTTTTCCCTGTTGACTGAAAAAAAAACCAAAAGAGCTCAAACCGAATAAATTTCAAATTTATATATACATAAAGAAAACTATATACACACTACCAACCAAAGGGAACTCCCCAAAAGGGAAAGGGAAGGGAAAGGGAAAAGGGAAAAAGGGACAAAAAGGGATACAAAAGGGACAAAAAGGGACAAAAAGTTAAATGCTCCCCTCGAGAGGAAGCGAACCACACCACACAGCTACCACAGCACTGTCCACCTCTCAAGGCCAACCAGACACGCCAGGCCTCACTCCCTCACCCGGGCAGAGCGACAGTAGAGCTACCTCTACCTTGGGTCCGCCGGAAGAAAGAGAGCGAGAGCTTCGTCTCTCTCCTTAATTATA